ATCGACATTAGCTACTTCTGTACGAAGAGTAAGTGTTGAAATTTCATAACTATTTTGAAAATCGTCTGTGGAACCAGTTAACTATAAAATTTGGAAGAGGACCAAGATATCAGGGGAACCATTTTTTTCTCAGGCTTCGGAGGGATGGAAGGGATTTCAGCGCTGCACCACCTTTTCCCCTCAGTTGCGGTCGCCTGTCAGCATCCACAAGTGCTGGAGAACAGGCTGGTGCCGCCTTAAGACAGCCCCCGCGCTCAAGTAGTACATGGTCGTCCTTCCTTGTGCAAGTAGTCCAGCCCCCAAGCTAGAGACTGTCCCACTCTCGCGACTCCACAGTGAGCGAGCGAGCTACAGCCGCTGAAAGTTCTAGTTCTAACGCCCGCCCAGTTGGACCGCCCACTTGCTAGATGCCCTCTGACGGAGGTCAGTTGTTCTTTGTTGGGGCGGCGGGCATTAATCGGAATTGCATGCCTTTTTGCTGACCGCGCTCGTGCCCATGAATAATTCTGCTCTCCTTTATTACATTTTATTCATTAGGAGCACATACAGTCAACTGCAACCCATCTCGCAAGGTAAAACGCGTAAAAATCACGAATGATGCAATTTTGTGGTGCAAAAGCTCGACATGCACCAAAAGCCGCACACTGCACGTAACCCCAAATTCGGACGCCAAGTTTTTGAATTTTCTTTTTTCAAGTGTTTTTCGTTCGTGCTTGTTGTTTTTCGTATTCTTTTCTTTGCATTGGATGATATACACTGGGATATGCGATAAAGCGATTTGTGAGCCAGGGGTTGCACAGAGACCGCAGGGCGGTGTCACTGTCAAGGAGAGAATTTTGTTCATGGTGTTCCTTGAGGGCCCTTGTTGTTTTTTTTTCTTTTTTGCAGAATTATTAATCAGCTACTGTTTCATAATTGAACAGCAACTATCCTTGACACTTTTATCGCGGGAGCTGTCTTTAAATCCGACCTACCCGAAATGCCTCAGGGATCGCAGCAAACGAGACTCATTTCTTCTTTTATCTAGCTCGGGCGCGGTTCTCGGGTGAGACATTAGCTCAGTTGCTTCTGGTTATACGGGTAGTAGGTGCTCAATTATAAACCAGTAGCCCATAAGTAACTCGTAAGTAGAGGAAAAAGCGAAAAAACTCTCAGGAACACTGAACAGAGACCCCCTTAGCAGTGAGCGTCTTGGACGAGTTTGTCGAACGTCGGCAACCCCAATCAGCAGGATTCGACGTGCAACCAATTCCGGCAAGAGCACAGGAAATCACCCTACGACGCTCCAGGCAACGCTATGTACACACGCAATTCCGCTTGTAAGCCGTTGTCTTGCAGAGTGAAAGTAATCGTGGTTGCAATGGTTGCAATAATCACGCGTCTCTAGCTTCTTATCTCGCCGTTTCGAGTGACGAAAGTGGTATATTTCTGCGAATGCGGACAACGATGCCAAATGCACGGAGGCATTTCGCGGACCACTTGATCGCGGGAACTATCTTTGAAATATCGTTTTCTCTCTTTTCTTTTTCGACATATTTGTATATGTGAGGGGAAGAACGCTTTTCTTTCTGCTTTCTTTCCGGAATGCGCCACGCTCTTGCTTGCTACTTGAAACCGTAGAGACATTTGGATTCGACTTGGCCTCTGCACAGACTTAGAGGGTTGGGGCAGCCGACGTAGAACTTCTACTAAATAATATCTATTTTTACTCCTGGTGACTCTTCCTACTCCTACATTCTTTCTTTTGAACTACAGAATGAGGTGGGCAAGCAGCCAAAATCTATTCATCCCTTGGCTTTATCCTGGCTATATACGGTGGATTTCGGACGGACTTTTTCTGCTTCTTTCACTTTGTTTCATTCGCCATCTTGTCATTAGTATTTGAGCCGCACAACTGACAATTTTCGAACGCGGGGAAGGCCGTTGGCTACATCCTCTCAAGTACACGCACTCCAAATTCCTGAGATGCTCTGGATGTGGGAAATGTATTGAACTCGATTTGAATCCGACGGCGGCTAAGCTTTTCGAGATATTTTCATTTTGGGGCAGTTGTAATTATGTCTTCGTCCAATATGGATCAAGATGACAGTTGTTTCGAAGTTTTGGAAGCTAAACTCTTCGAGATATTTTCATTTTGGGGCAGTTGTAATCATGTCTTCGTCCAATATGGATCAAGATGACAGTTGTTTCGAACTGAATATCCCAAGATTAACTCACCCTCTCCATGTTAAAGGCATGTGGCACAATAAATCCCTAACAATAAGACGTGTAGGACTAATACGCCTAGCAGGACAGAATTTTACGCCCGTGGGCAGGAACTGCGTGGCGCCTTTTCCAAGGAAGGTACCCTTATAGCGCCCTATTGGATTGCAACATACCACCGCGTTCGCCCGCCCACAAATGTCCGACCGATGCTGATGCTCGTATCCTTCATTTGCGAAGTACAGTATGAAGCGAAGGGATTGATATGAAGCGGCTGCGGTGCTGCATGGATATATGAGTACATACATGCAGCCGTATCTACCGTAGCGGTTATTGGCATGATGCCAACGGGAAACTCGTCCGAAATTGCTCTCGACGTCGTGCAGAACAAAGTTTTTTTTGCAGGTTTCTGACGGTATCGCTTCAACTTTTCGCCATTTTCCCCACTATATAGCACCCCTGCTACCTGCCTTATGCCTTTGCATGCCACGCCTACTCCATCTCAGGGATAAGGAATATATGCCAGGTGCACAGCAATCGATCCTGGATGGACACAGGATTATACGGTAGCCTGATAGCCTTGATGGAAGCCCATTAGAGATCTGATCCTTGTCGCTTGGCCTAGCTATCGAAGAGTTTTTCAACGGATCGAACAATCGTCACAGGAATTCACGCCACTAATGCCATTCTTTATTGAAGATTCAATGATATGCTAAGAAAATCAATCGACCGCAACGATCATCGATATTCTCGGCTAGGAATCACTGAAGCTCTTAACAATTGTTACAAGTTTTCTGGTATCATTATTGAACAACATTTTCTTTACCGTACAAACGACTTTACTGCTCAAAGTATACGCGTGACGGAATTGAAACAGCTAAAACACATCACCCGCCTGTTCAATGGCATTTGATAAATCGTGTGTTGTCGATGGCTTTGACCTCGGGACCCCACGCTTTGATCGCTCTTATCCATTGGACGGCCAGTCCAGTGTGGCGCTCCTATAGCTGCTAGTTGATGTTGGGTCTCTTGCTGCAGTCGTTATCCACTCATTCATCCTGTTATTCATTACACTTTTCTTCCTCGCTCTCTTTTCTTCCTGCCAATCCAATTTTTCCCGCCAAGTGCTGGGATTCTTGCTGGGTTTCTCTCAGTAACTTGTTCTTGTCCATTCCACATTGTCATTTTTGGTTTGTATTTCTTCGGTGATTTTTCCAACTTGAGAGGAGGGGTTTGGGAAGGGGGAGAGGGGGGGGGACAAATTTCTCTTCTTGCGGAAAAAATATCGGCTCACCTCTACTGGAATACCTTCACTGCTAGGCTTAGACCCGGGTTTACGAAGTAGCGATGGTTTGAAAACGTACCATTTTAGCTTTAGAGCGTTTTTTGGCACTGTTCCAATAATACCACTCCGAAAACCCAATTTTTTTCGCTGTTAGGTCCCCCGTAGATTTTTAATGTGGCACAATCTGGCGCTAACAGGTGCCAATGTAGCGCCATCACCTTTCTACCAAACTCGATAAAAACTGGCATAATAGAGTTGTTTGATGTCCTGATCACGATTATTATATTCATTTCTTTATAACAGTGAGTTTCATATTAGTGATCAGGACATAAAATAACTTATTAAAAAATCTTTATCGATTTTGGTGAAATAGGGGATGACGCCAAATTGGCGCCTATTGGCACCGGCGCCAAGAACAGCTATCGTATCTGTGATCAAGGCACCGAATAACCTCTATAGGCGGAACTTTAGCAAAATTTTTTTCTACTTTCTGGAGTCATATTGATAGAATATAGCTACTAATGTTAGAGCTAAGGATTGCGAATTACTCTTAAACCCAGATGGTCGAAATTTCAGAACAATCCGCGATTGTGGCGTTGGTAGAACTACTTTCTTGTAGAGCTGGTCCGCATTTTCTGAGGACCTCCCACGTACGTGATTCGACAGTGAGCGAGCGTAGCTGTCATTGGTCAAGGAACGTCGCCCCCTGCGCGCGGCATGTTCCAGCTATCCTATTTAAGTAAATCCAGGGACGTCAACGTAGTTGGAAGGGGAGTGGGGAAAACCCCTCGCCAGCGTCCACGTCATGTACTGTCAGCGGCACTAACACTCGACGATCCTGGGTCTGCCCTTTAAGCCCGAGATTTTTGTGGAAGGGGCGCCGAGGCGAATGCGATCGATCTTTCTGCGCGCCCCCCCCACCTTAACTTACGTCAGCACCGACGTCGCTGTGACGTATTCTGGGCAGAACCAATCTTTTTCGGTCGTCCCTTTGGCAACAGTTTTTTTTCCTTTTCACTTGTAAGTATATGAGCGTCTACGAACGTATTTTACAAAGCTACGCAATTACTCTTCACAATGTGCCTTCTGAGTGCGGCTTAGGAAGCTAAGTTCTTCGCCTCCTTTTGTTACTATTTTTCATTTCCCAAGAGAAACTAGAAATATGCCAAGAAAATTCACCATCGCTACTGCACAAGCTGGCCATTCGATTTTGAATTACCGGAAACAAGAGAGTAGTCAAAATAAAGTTTTTGGAGCGACATAACTTCTCAAGAAATGTGGAAAAACCCGAATCTGTGGTTGATCTTGGTGTTGCAGCCGACGGTCTCGCTTTGTAATAAATTCTTGCATGCCTGAATCGACTATCAAATATCATCGAAAATTGCGCATTGAATATTTTCTTTTTTGGTAGCGTTTCAAACTTACGCTGCAAACATTGCTTTTCTATAATGAAATTTTCAATGTATGCGTTGTTAGATTCCCTGAGATGCTCGTCAATTTTTTTATTTTACAGTATCTCGTTGGTGATGCTCTTATTAGTGTTTTTGTTATGTCATATCGGTCACAGCGGTCATAACGTTCAAGCTCGTCAAACGTGCTCATGGGAGGTAAGTTTGACGTTATTCTCTTGAAGTTAAAAGTATATACCGTTCGATCCTATGGGCTGAATTACTTTGATAATAGCTCCTCCTAATTGGTGCTTTTATTCTTTTCTCTTCAATAGACTTGTGTGTCCGGCTAGACCCAATGTCCGTACGTTGGGATCCCCAGCGAGGTGGGCGGGGAGGGGGAGGAGAGGGGTAAGGGAGGTCGCCCAAATGTCTTCGGTTAATGACTTCTCTCGGTTTCCCCTGTTTCAAGAGCGCTACCCACCTCTCCCCGCCCGCTCAACATTTTCTGCTGTGAGAAAAAAATGGAGATTTTGCCGGTGAAAGGCGGTTGGAAGTGCAAGGAAGTTGGGAACAATTTCGAGAAGATGGCAGGTAGGACGAGAAAAGGGCGCTGGCACCAGCAGGGGGACCTTTTTGAGGGGGGTGGGTGGTACGAGAGCGGAAAATTTCGAGGGGAGGGGGATCGAGTCGGGGCATATATTGATGACACAACGGTAGGGCGTGCACCGGTCTCAGCGATAAAGTAGAGCGAAGCAGTCAAAATGTAATATTGTGCACAAAAAAAACCTAGGAAACATCTTGAGCGATGTGCCCCTGCCTTTAAGCTAGTGAGTGGGAGATATGCACGAAGGAACCGAGGTTTACGTGACCTCCCTCCCTGGTCTTCCTCCCCAACAATTGCGTGAATGTGCCTGTGAAGGCAGTTCTCGAGATAACCAAATTTCGAATGATATTTCAATTCTCTTCGTGAGAAGTCAAATTCCCAAAAATTTGTACATCATTCCCGTGCTTGGCACGCTGTTTGGACCAAGGTTTTCCTTTATGAGTTTATCATCTGGAGAGAGAAACATAGGAAATAGCTACTGGTAATAAAACTGGACAAAATAGATTCTACTGTTATTCAGCATCGTAGTGGGTTTGGTTGTTACATGGCTGGAACAACTCGGTGCTTTCCCTTGTCCTTCTGGGCGAGTCTGCTTCCAACCCATGAAGGGTGGAAGGCTTGACTTGGTTTGATCTCAACCCAGTCTTCGCCCAGTAGTAGGCGATGGTGCTGGAGTGGCAAGTAGTCAGTTACATACCAAGCACTCGAGCTGAGGTTGAAGACTAGGCTGAGTTCACTCGAAGACTGGGTTGAGATCAAACCAAGTCAAGCCTTCCATTTGGTAACTGAGGTGCCTGCCCGGACAGGCAAAGAGACATACAGACCGATGTTGCCGTTCATATATAGTAGGATCTGAAGAATCTACATTAATTCCCAGGTTGTATTCGAGTTCGTTCTGAAACAGCATTTCTCGACAGCTCCAGAAAACCGAGGTCTAACCCTTAGAATAGGAACTTTGGGCTTTTATTAGGCTGATGAGTCTTGGAAATGGAGCAGTCACTAGACGTGTTGCATCTTGTTCTCATAGTGTGCCAGCTCTCACCATTAATGATGATCGAATTGAGAGAGTTCAAGTTCAGTCTTTTTCGTGTATTCAAGGGTACAGGGTACTGCTTAGTCTTGGTCGGCCAATACACGTGGAGTCCGTCGAGCCATCACATTGTGGAGTCCGGATGAGGGACAACCAGAGCACAATCATTGGAGTTCGAGAATTTGATTGGGTTAAGTTCCAGCAGCGACACCACCCCCCCCCTCCTTTTTCAAAGGGTTGGTACGACCCCTCCCTGGTTCCCTCCTCATCAAGCTATTGAGCGGGAAGGGTGGAGGTGGAGGATATATAGCCCGGGAAACGAGAAAAACGGGAAAACGTGAAACAGGAAAACCGCGAGGAAAATACGACCCCGTGTTGGTCTTATCTGGTTACGCAATTTTTAGATTTCCCCAACTCCTTACCACTTATCCGGAATTCCCGAAAATTTTCCTACTTTTACCCAAAATTTGGCTGACAAGGTGGGGAAGCTTCATAGTACACGTGAAACAGGAGAAACCACGAAAAGTCAGCAAACCCTCTCAAAAGCCCAGAGGGGAAATACGAAAATACGATTCCCCCTCCCCCCCCCCCCCACAGCGAAGAACATACTATCACTCCCTTTATAACGTTCTTGAAACAAGAAAAAATCATACTATCAGAAATTTTCTTACAAATACGACCGGCCCCTCTCCTGCAGGCGACGCCCCCCCCTCGCCAGACAACGATCCATCCTTGTGGTAGACTTTCGCTAATAACGTCCCCCATCAGCTTTTCTTCCTTCTATCATGACCCCCATTCCATCACATGACGCGTTGAAACAAAAACTGCAAGTCTGCATATATGTGGGTAGTGGCTTTGCACTAAGCGGAACGCTAACGGGAGCCTATGGTCGTCAAAGTGACTCCCCAGATATTGAGGGAGACCAAAAAAAATCATGGAAACATCTGTTGACTGGCCTCAACTATACGGAATTGTCAGATAAGTCGTTTTTATGCAGCAAAGGGATATCGTGGTGCCTCTGGCTCACAAATCGTTTCTTCGCTTTATCCATTGTTAATATATATAATACTACCCCACAGCGCAAAAAAATACAAAACACGTATTGAACTTGTGACAGAAGGTAGCCCACGAGTTTCGGTGGGCGGGGTACTGAGGCGTCAGAACTGGTACTTATAAAGCGCGTAGCGCCTTCGTTACTTCCTTTGAAATCGCGAAAGTGGTACAGTCTTACCTACGAGACTAACGGCCAGACTACTTGTACGAGGGATGACGCTCACGAATTGCTTGGGCGCAGGGACTACCTCCAAGGACTGTCGCAAAAACCTGGATGTCCGGTGGTGGGGGGGGGGCGCAAAGCGCAAAACTATTTTTAATAGTCGATCAAGGTCTGACTCCGTCAGCTCCAATCAACTACCAGAAGAGTAGTTTTGCGTCGCTGCGGAGTAAAGGCGGCGTTGGGACGAGGATATATGGTGCAGGTGAAACGGGAAAATTTAACAGCCAGAAACAATTGATCCCATGCCAAACATCGAACATTCTCTACTAAATGCGTCAGTAATTACGCAGATATAAAATAATCCTACTATATATAATCCGCTAAGTGTGTGTGTGTGTGTGTGTGTGTGTGTGTGTGTGTGTGTGTGTGTGTGTGTGTGTGTGTGTGTGTGTGTGTGTGTGTGTGTGTGTGTGTGTGTGTGTGTGTGTGTGTGTGTGTGTGTGTGTGTGTGTGTGTGTGTGTGTGTGTGTGTGTGTGTGTGTGTGTGTGTGTGTGTGTGTGTGTGTGTGTGTGTGTGTGTGTGTGTGTGTGTGTGTGTGTGTGTGTGTGTGTGTGTGTGTGTGTTTCACGAAATTCATAACTTCCTTCAAAACAGTGATAGAGCGCTCAAACTGATAAGTGATGTAGGGAGTCGGGTAGGAACACTATTGGTAGGTGGCAGGAACTAATAAAAGCTGATAAGATACCACAGGGGGTCTTAGAAGGAGGAGGGTCACCAAATTCATAGCGCGGGTTAAACAACGAGAAGTAAGATAGGGGGTAGGATTGGAACATTATTGGTGCGTGGCAGGAAGTGATAACAGCTGATAGGATACCACGAGGAACCTTAGAAGGCGTTGGTTACCTAATTCATA